GGCACAGAAGCACCTCTATTCCAGGGTGCCTTCGCAGATCAGCCACAGTGGTCACTTGTCTGGTGCTTGGTGTTGGTAGAGCTGTGGAGGAGCGACAGTTATGCCTGCTGTAATACTACTGTAGCTCTTGCTCCAGCCTCTGTGTTCAAGCTCTATGGAACCAGACAGGGATGAAGGAAGAGAATTCAACAGAAATCTCACTTGCCAAATAGTCCTCCAGGGTCTACCGATTTGGGAACAACTATACAGTTAAATCCTTCTGCTGTTTATTAAAGTCAAGGTGATGAGGTGCTTTCCCCAGATTGAAAATCCTTAGGGGCTGGCACTGTGGCATAGTAGGTAAAGCCACCACCCGCTGTGCTGGCATCCTATATAGGCGCCGGTTCAAGTCCCAGCTGCTCCACTTCTGATCCAGTTCTCTGCTGTGGCCTGGGAAAGCAGTACAAGATAGTCCAAGTCTTTGGGCCCCTGCACCCACATGGCAGATCCAGAGGAAACTCCTGGAACCTGGCTTTGGATCGGCACAGCTCCAGCCATTGCGGCTATTTGGGGAGTGAACTAGGGGATGGAAGATCTCTCTCTCTCTCTCTCTCTCTCTACCTCTACCTCTGCCTCTGCCTCTGCCTCTGCCTCTCTGTAACTCTGCCTTTCAGTGAAATAAATCTTTAAAGAAAAAAAAATCCTTAATAGAGACACAAATGATTGACAGGAATCCGTTTAGTCTGTGAACGCCCCTACAAATAAAACACTTTCTTTCACATTACTGTCCCATTGATATAAAAGCGAATTAGCATTCTTTTTGTTTTTTCAACTTTATTTGAAAAGCAGAGAGATAAACAAGAGATCTTCTATCCAGTACTTTACCTTCAGATGCCTGCAGCAGCCAGGGCTGGGCCAGCTCAAAGCCAGGAGCCCAGAATTCAATCCACGTCTCCCACATAGGTGACAGAGACCCAATTACTTGAGCCATCACCTGCTGCCTGCCAGGGTGTGCGTTAACAGGAAGCTGAATCAGAAGTGGAGGAGCCATGAGCCAGGACTTGAAACAAGCATCCTCATATGGGATGTAGGCATATGAAGCAGTGACATAACTGCTGTGCCATACACTCGCCCCAAGAGAGAACATTCCGACCTATTGAATGGTACTTGTGGAAATGAAGGGTTTGTATTTCTCAAGTGTACTTTTAATTCCTAAACTTCCAGGCAGAATGTTCAAGAACTAGACGCAGCAGAGGCACTGGAGGTTGAACCCTTCAAAGGCACGTTTGTTGACCAATAAAGTGTTCCTGTTGTTTAGCCTTGGGAGCTTAAATAACTCTTTTGGTGGTTGTTTACTTGTCTCTGTTTTTCTCTAATATGCAGTACAAAACCACTCGTGAAGAAGTGACAGCTTCCGATGATACAGGGAAGAATGGGACTGAAGAGTCTGTCACAGCCGTCATGACAACAGCCGTGTCTGAGGTCCGTCCCGTGGCAGCTCCCCTCTTGCAGTAGGCAGGCACCAGTCATGCGTGAGCAGAGGGAAAAATTCAATTCTTGTTCTTTTCAGACTCTGCATTGGTGAATTCACCTACCTGCTAAAATGTATTTGTAACCCCCAAATCAGTACTCACAGCACATTCATAGTCATTGGCAGGCCTGCACAGAGCAGCAGAGTATGTGTGTCACCCACCGTGCGTGTGGCCAGCCAAGACTGAGCAAGGCTGTGCCCTGCCTTCCTGTCTTGTGTGAACCTGTGTCCATTTTGCAAGGTGGTTAACGTCACCCTTTCTGCACTTCTCTGCTTTTTGTCATGATTCCACTGTTTAAAATGGACTGAAACATAGTATAAAAGTGTTGTCTAGTGTTCCTAAGACCAAGGAGAAAACATGTGTCAGATAAGCTGCTTTCCATCATGACTTACAGTGTTGTTGACCATGACTTCAGTGTTACCAACTCAGCCTTATATTAAACATGGTATTTTTAAACAAAAACATACATAAAATAATGTTAGGCACTCATTATTGAAAATGATGTAACCAGTGTTCCCAGTTCCCTAACCCTGTATTCCCTCTAGGAGGACTGGCTTAGTATTGGCTGCTTCAGTTGGTGTACATGGGGACCTCATGGAACATAACTACCAGGATCAAAGAGGATCAGTGGTTCCACATGGGGAAGCAATGGGCGCTGTGGCTCCTACAGGATATCTCAGCCACTTCTTACAGCAGTGTCGGGGAGCTGCTTTACATTGCAGGGCTCTTTTAACCCAGAATGCAGGACCATGGCTCCTTGGCTGGATCTCCTCGCCCAGCTGTGATTCAGGTCCGGAATTTGCAGGAGGGCTGGGTTGCGTATGCCCATGCACTGTAGGTTATGCAGTATCCATGGAGGGGATTGACAGCAGCCCTCCAGAAAGCACCTCAGTATTTTCTGTCAAGTGAGAGACACAGACTATCAGTAGCCCCTTGGTTCAGCGTAAGTTTTACCACCAAAAGGCTTGGCTGTAAATTTATCAACAAAGTCAAAGGGCCTCAAGAGCTTTTGGGATTTGCAAGTTGGAGATTAGAACGTGTGGGTTTTGTAGGCCTAGAGTAGATTGCTCCTGAACCTTCTCTCCCTTCACAAAGGAAGGTAAGCTTTAAGAAAAAAAGAAGATTGGCTCCTGCCTTCCATTGTGGGAAGCTTTAACTTCTCTGGCTCCTCTCACATTTTCCCAGTCACTTCCCAGTGAGCCCTCTGTCTTCCTTACAGATCTGCCCTCTCAGTTTCTTGTGGTTCCAAAAATGCATTTGTGAGCGCTGTCCATGTGCCAGGCCCTGCCGGGCACTGGGATTATAATAGTGAAAGACAGTTGGCATCTGCCCTCATGCAAAGAGTGGTAGAGATTACAACTGGAAAGAGCAGGGTGCTTTGAGGGCATTCCACAGAGGACGTTAAATTAGTGTGGGGGCCATAATGCTGAGTAAGAGTTATTTCGGCCGGCACCATGGCTCACTAGGCTAATCCTCCACCTGCGGTGGCTGCACACCGGGTTCTAGTCCCAGTCGGGGCACCGGATTCTATCCCGGTCGCTTCTCTTCCTGTCCAGCCCTCTGCTGTGGCCAGGGAGTGCAGTGGGGGATGGCCTGAGTGCTTGGGCCCTGCACCTGCATGGGAGACCAGGAGAAGCACCTGGCTCCTGGCTTTGGATCAGCGTGGTGCGCTGGCCGCAGTTGCCATTGGGGGGTGAACCAATGGAAAAAGGAAGACCTTTCTCTCTGTCTGTCTCTCTCTCACTGCCCACTCTGCCTGTCAAAAAATAAAATAAAATAAAATAAAGAAAGAAAGAAAAGAGTTATTTGAGCAGATTGAAAAGGCCCAGTGCCTGATGGCTTTTGCTTTTCTTACCATTTTCCTGGAATGTGCCTGGTCTCCTGGCTGCCTGCTTTCCCTAACTTCCAAGTCCTCATTCGTGTCCCCACCTCCTTATGACGCTTGTGGCATCGCCAGGCTGTGTTCATTACATACGACCTTGCTGGCATGGGCTGGTGTTTCTCACAGCTCATCGTCTCTCTCCAGCTGAATCAGGAGCTAATGCTGTAGCCAGTGCCGTTAGAGAACGCTGGCTGATCCATAAAGAGCTGGTAGGCCATTTAAGTCAGAAATGACTGGCACCCTGGTGGCTCATCAACATAATTTTTTATAAACCTGGCTTGTCTCACCCAGATTATGGTGTCCTTTGGTAAATCATATACTCTTGCAGCCAGGACAAAGTAAAAGTCCCTTGTAATAGGGATCTGGTTAATTTTTATATTTCTAAAAACTTGTTGGTCACCCAAGACTAGAGGCCATAAAAAGTGTACGATTGCTTCATTAACAGGGTAAAATAGATGGTAAAAATCTCCTGAGAATGTTTGCACTGGTAAATATTTTGTGCTTCCTGCACTAACTTCTGTCTTTTTAAGCAGACTGTAAATGTAGCTCATGATTAAAATAGCCCTGAAAAAATGCCTTGATTCTAAAATTCATAATAAAAATGCAAAGCATTCCAGAGTAAAAAGTCTTAAAAAGAAATACTAAAATAGGAACTTGTTGAAAAAAGAAAAAAACTTTAAAGTTCAATTAGGAAGGGATAAAATTGATTGTGTACCTAGGTTTATTCTTATTATTACTATTTCCTGAAGCACTGTTCACTCTGCCTGGGTAGATTACTGTTACGTTCAGCTTTCATTTCTCATTTCATTTTCTCATTTCAGGTTCCCATGCATTCTAACAAGGTTATAATCACATATCAATGTATTTCCTTGGTTTTGATCCACAGAACAGAACAAAGGAGTACAGAGTCGTGGGCCTGTATTCAGATGACATCAATATCCTGGGCTTGATTATCTTCTGCCTCGTGTTTGGACTCGTCATCGGGAAAATGGGAGAAAAGGGACAGATTCTGGTGGATTTCTTCAATGCTTTGAGTGACACAACCATGAAAATCGTTCAGATCATTATGTGGTGAGCAAATGCTGCTAATACCATCTTTGCTTCCCCTGACAACCCTGTCTCCTCAGAATTAAGAAGAAGAGGCTTATGTTTCTCCACTGAACTCATTCTATGGGAGGTGAACATTTGCTATGAAACCATGAGACTGCTAACGAACTCCACACACCATGCGGGAGGTAGTTCACTGACACAAGACTGGCTTTCAGCCACTCTTCTCCCTGTAGCCCTGTGAGGTCATCTGTCACCAAGCCAGCATCCGTGTAAGAAGTGACTCTTAAAGGAAAGATTTCAAGGAGTTTCTTGCACATCAGAACACAGAAGGCATTCCATGTTAGGCCCCATACAGAAGTGAAATTCGAAACATTGAGCTGGTACAGCAGGGGCCCCAACACATCTGAGCACGAGCTGCCATCTGAGCCCACCAGGCACAGCCCCTGAGGCTCTGCCTCATCCCAGACGCTGCCCGAGGTCCACTTTCTCAGGAGACCTCTGCCTCCACTATCTCATATTAAATTGGTAGAACATTATTTTGGGGGGTTCTTACATTCTTTTCTTATACTCTTTGTTTTTTTTTAAACTTTTACTTAATAAATATAAATTTTGAAAGTACAACTTTTGAATTATAGCGGTTCCCCCCCATAACTACCCTCCCACCCACAAACCATCCCATCTCCTACTCCCTCTCCCATCCCATTCTTCATTAAGATTCATTTTTAATTATCTTTATGTACAGAAGATCAACTTAGTATATACTAAGTAAAGATTTCAACAGTTTGCACCCACACAGACACACAAAGTATAAAGTACTGTTTGAAGACAATTTTACCATTAATTCGCATAGTACAACACATTAAGGAGAGAGATCCTACATGGGGAGTAAGTGCACAGTGACTCCCATTGTTGATTTAACAATTGACACTCTTATTTATGATGTCAGTAATCACCCGAGGCTCTTGTCATGAGCTGCCAAGGCTATGGAAGTCTCCTCAGTTCACAAACTCTGACCTTATTTAGACAAGGCCATAATCAAAGCAGAAGTTCTCTCCTCCCTTCAGAGAAAGGTATCTCCTTCTTTGATGGCCGGGGTAGAACATTATTTAATTCAAATTATAGACCCTGACAGCAACATACAAAGCTCCAAAAAAAAAAAAAAAAAAAAGCCAGGTGAATTACTTAATCCTGCAGAAACCTCAGCTTCATCTTCTACAAACAAAGTTAATAAAAACTACCCCCAGGACTGGCAGATGTACATTAAGGGAAATGGTGCATATAAAATGCTTTCCCCAACACAGGATGTAATGGGGGCTCCATAAATGGAGCTATTGTGACCACCGATACTGCTTTTCTATTGTGGGTTCCTGGGAAATCAGAAGACCATGGCTAGAATGAACCAAGTGTCTATATTTGTCAGGGTCAAACCCAAATGAGATAAGCAGATAAGGCAATCAGTGGGATATATGTGTACTGGGCACATGGCCCAGGCTATGCACCGTTCTCACCACGTGTTCTTGCCAAGTTTGCAAACTACTCTCATGACTGTTTGGATGGCTAGAATTTAAGGTGCATGCAGGTACTAAAAATGAATCCACGCAGTCTGCCTAGGACTTGACACAGAACCCTTGGTTTCATGACATATCTACGCTCCTCCCAGCTGAGGGCATGCACTGAGGGTCTACACACTGCCTTGCCTCCTCCCACGGAGAAAACCCTGCTGACGGAATCATGCCTTTGTCATGCTTGCTTTCTAGTTACATGCCGCTTGGTATTTTGTTCCTGATTGCCGGGAAGATCATAGAAGTTGAAGACTGGGAAATTTTCCGCAAGCTGGGCTTGTACATGGTCACCGTCCTGAGTGGGTATGTCAGGCTCAAGAACAGCAGCAGGAACTTCGCATTGGACCCCATGGGATGGCTGCAGAGAGGCTGAGGTTCAGTTGGTCAAATCAGTTTCTTTGCCACGTGCAGGAAAGATGGGGTTCAGAGATAAGAGAGCGGGGGAGCAGGGCTGCCCTTTCACAGCTGTAGAGTAGGCGGATCATGCTGTGCTAATTGCCAGCTCTTGGCAGAACAGCCTGGACCAGGCTTGGTCATCGCCTTTTTACTGGTTGTGTTCAAATCAGTTTTTAAATCAAGAGAGAAACCCACTCATAGCCGCCTCTGGCTCTTTCCTGGCCTTTGCTTCCTCAAAAGTGCAAACTAGCCAAGCAGGTAAGAAGGGCCCCCATGTACCTTGAGCCTGAAAGCAGTTCAGAGGAGCCTACGTGGAATCAGGCTCCAGGGCTGCTTGCTTCAAATTCTGATGCTGGGCTGTAACACTGCCATGCTCAGAGAGTGTGCTTGGGAATGCTTTGGGTTAGCAGGAACTGGGTGGGGCTTTTCAGAAGCCATAAACCAGGAAGGCAGCAGGAATGGGTCCTTACATACTTAATACAGCCTAGTTATTGGTTTCCCAAGAAGAGATGTGATGGGACAGGTTATGTATGGTGCTCCTGAATACGTCCCATATGCTAAGACATGTGGACCAAGGGAATGCATAAATAACACTGATTTGACTCCCGCAATTCAATCCCTCGAACATTCCACTTGAGCCATCAACTTAGCTATTGAAACTTGATCACACTGGAGCATTTCCATTGCACATTTAATCTGTGCCAAAACACAGCCCCAGCAGCCAACACAGGAGCAGCTTGGATTCCACAAGGGCCATGGTGGTAAGGGAGACAGACCAGTGCCACTCCAGAGGCCAGCCTTGCTGTGACTACTCAAACAGGCAGGACCAGGCGCTGCGGGTGGGCAGTGATTATGCTAAGATTCACGGTGCTGATCCATTTCTGAAGCAGTTCTGCTGGCTGCTTTTCTGTTACCCTATCTAGGTTTTCAGTGGAAAACCAGTAGTTCATAGCTACAGACTGTCAGGACCATTTCATTTACTATGTCAACCTCACGGGACTGACCTGTAAACTCCAAGTTGTCACTTACATATTCATGACATCTGACAAGCAGGCCTCATTTTTTTAAGGCCCCTCTTCTGTGTGACCTGCAGATTTCCATGTGAGACAAGGGACAGTTTGCGCAGGAAGGAATAATAAAGAAAAGAGGAGCAGTCCTAAAGCGTGACAGGGATTCCTCTCTGACCGCAGTTCTGACTTCCCTCTTAGTGGGTGCCATCCAGCAAGACAGCGGTGGCCCCGGGGATGGAGGGAATGAGGGCTTGTGAGGAGGCACAACGTGGGGGACGTAAGGAGAGCCAAGATGGGAAGGATCAGCTCTTCCTGGGAAAGTGAGCAAAGGCTTCCTGGAGGAAAGGGATGTTTTGCTTAGTCTTAGAGGAGGAGTAAAAATTCAGCAGCATGGGATGGGCATTGTGGTGCAGTGCATTAGACCTCCACTTGGGATGCCCACCTCCTATATCAGAATTCTGGGATCAAGTTCCAGCCCTTCTACTTCCAATCCAACTTCCTGCTAGTGCATACCCTGGGAGGCAGCAGTGGATGGCTCAAGTGCTTGGGCACCTGCCACCCATGTGGGAAACCCAGATGGAGTTGCAGGCTCCTGGCTTCAGCCTGGCCCAGCTCTTGTTTTTGCTGTTGCAGGCATTTGGGAAGTGAACCAACAGATGGAAGATTTATTTGTGTGTGTGTGTGTGTGTGTGTGTGTATGTTTGTGAGTGTGACTCTGCCTTTCAAATAAACATTAAAAATAAAGTAATTCAAAAGCAGCAAGGAGGGAAGAGTGTTCAGCACATACAGCAGGAATGTCTCAGGGAGCATGGTGGCAGGTCATTAACCATGTTAAATGAGTGTTGGCATTAGCATTCAGCTGCTGGCTTTGACAAGAAGCTTCACTGAATGAGAGAGCCTCTGTGTCCTCATGCACATAGGGACCTACTCCCACGTGCCTGCCTGACTTCCCTCTTTCTCATTGCCTCATGATGAAAGTTAAACAACATCATGAATAAAGAAGGTGTTTGGCAACAGGATTAAGTGCCAGCAGGTGGTGTTACCTTTGAAACTGTCTCTTGTTTGCAGGCTTGCAATCCACTCCATTGTCATTCTCCCACTGATATATTTCATTGTGGTGCGAAAGAACCCTTTCCGATTTGCCATGGGAATGACCCAGGCTCTCCTGACAGCACTCATGATCTCTTCCAGGTAAGCAGAAGAGCGGTTTTGGGATGAAGGCTCCAGACCACACTCTATCACATGAAACAGACTCCCACTTGTGTTCCTAGCTGCCTTCCATTTGAAAAATGCCTCCATAATCTCTGGCTACGTCCTAGACCCTGTCCCTTCACCCTCTTGAGTCCTTGCCGCCTTGGCATGGCCTGCAGCCCAGGGAGGGTTCCCGTGGAGCTTGAAGCAGTAGTGGGCACTGCGCCTTCTGATTCCTCGATCTGCCAAAAGTGCCAGTATGCTTTGGGTTCTTGATCTACTATTTAGAAGAGAGGTGTCTTTAAAGGTAGGGATTGAGAAGTACCCTTCCTAGACCCAACGTTCTTTTCTGTTTTGATCACACAGTTCAGCAACACTGCCTGTCACCTTCCGCTGTGCAGAAGAAAAGAACCGTGTGGACAAGAGGATCACTCGATTTGTGTTGCCCGTTGGTGCCACAATCAACATGGATGGGACCGCACTCTATGAGGCAGTGGCAGCAGTGTTTATTGCACAGTTGAATGATATGGACTTGAGCATTGGGCAGATCATCACTATCAGGTGGGGGATGGCATCGCACTCATTTGTGTACTGTCACTGGGTTGCCTCAAGTAAACTCGATCTAAGAAGGGAGGCCAAGAAGGGCCCTGCGATAGATCATTTTCCTTGGTCTCTGCAGGAAACTATATTATAAGTGGTGGGTTTATGGTATGCAAGATTTAGGCTTCAGGGTCTGGCTAATCAAGGGCAAAACTCTGTGCTCAGTAGGTGCTGGGAAGAGAGTAGGCACCAGAGACTCAAGGATGAATAAGGGTCAGCCCATGATTTTAAGGGGTCCTGGCTGGGTGAGGATATAGACAGCTCAGTGAAAGCTGAGGGCTGTGATAAGGGCTAGAATGAGATTTTGCATGGTGGTTGCCAGGGAAAACAGGCTGGCTTGACCTGGAAAGGGGAGGGGCGGGGGAAGCTCACTGAGGTGGGTGTTTAGCGGAATCTTCGAAGAGGAATAAAACTTCAGCAGGCAATGGAGAGTGTTTAGGGCACTTTGGATTAAGACCATGTACAGGGACTTGTAATGTAGCCATGGCCTGGTTATAGAATGCAGATTATTTGGGATGGCTGGCATACCTAGTACAGTATAGAAGACACACAAGAATGAGGAAGCAGGGGTCATATCATGAAACTTCTATATGGGGAGCTCATGGAAGGATCTTAGAAGATTTATCATATTAAGGACAGGGACACATTTTCTTTCTTTCTTTTTTGAAGGTTTTTATTTAATGAATACAAATTTTCATGTGTACAGCTTTTAGGGATATAGTGTTTCTTCCCCTCATACCTGCCCACCCACCCCACCTCCCACTCCCTCTCCCGTTCCATTTTCCATTAAGATTCATTTTTAATTGACTTTATATACAGAAGACCAACTCTTTATTCAGGAGAGATTTCAACTGTTTGCACTCACACAGACACACAAAGTATAAAGTACAGTTTGAAGACAAGTTTTACCATTAATTCTCATAGTACAACTCATTAAGGACAGGTCGAGCATGGGGAGCAAGTGCACAGTGACTCCTGTTGTTGATTTAACAATTGACAGTCTTATTTATGATGTCAGTGGTCACCTGAGGCTCTTGACATGAGCTACCAAGGCTATGGAAGCCTTTTGAGTTCACAAACTCTGTCGGTTTTTAGACAGGGCCATAAGCAAGGTGGAAGTTCTCTCCTCCCTTCAGAGAAAAGTCAGGTACACATTTTCTAAAGGTAATTGTCAGTGTGGTGAATGATTTGGATGGACACAGGGACCACAGACCAGAAGACCAGTTAGAAGACTATTGGCAGAAGTCCAGGTTAGGAATGAAATGGCCTCTGTCAAGGCACTGACACTGGGAATAAGGAAGAGCTAATGAATGGAAGAGTCATAACTTGGATACAGGATGAGGGATGAGGAAGGTCAGGATAACTCCCAGGATTGGTAGGTGATCCTAGATTGATCAAGATAGGTGGAAGGATAGAGTTTATACTTGTGGTCCACTGAATTACAATGCCTTTAATAGTTCCAGCTGGAGACATGCAGTGAGAAACGCATGCCTGGACCAGAAGATACAGAAGTGAGGTCATGAGCTTAATGACCATCACACATGTGGGTCAGGAGTCAGTTGTCTTGAGTTTGAATCAGCAACACCATTATTAGCTGTGACCTTGCACAAGTGGAGTGGATTCTCTAATCTTGTGTTTTTTCACCTGCAACGTGAGAGTAATAATAGTACCTATAATTTACTCAAGTAGTGGTGATTAAATACGATTATGCATATAAAATGCTTGGAGCAGCACCTACATAGTGAGCACTCAGTCATGCTGGCAATGTATGTCATTATACAGGGAGACTGTGTAGAGGAGAGAAGGGAGGCAAAGGACTGAGCCTTGGAAGATCCTAACAGAGAAAAGGGGGCCTAAAAGAATTTGAGTCCAATGAAGACTTAAAAAGCTGCTCAAAGAAATGGTAGAAATATTGAGTCTTGCCAGAGTTGTTTCTCTAGGAAAGCACTGTTGAAGGTGATAGCCACCAGCATGGGTGGCTGATGGCTAACTGAATCAGAGGGCGCAGATACTGAACACTTCTGCCATTGCAGAAAGGTCTATTGGAGTGATAGGCTGGGATGAGAGTTAACTTAGTGACTCTAGTTCAGCACAGAGGTAAGTTTAAGACTAAGCTGTGTCCCGAGGCCAGCTCAAGGTTGGAGCTGAACCTTTTAGAGTTAATTTGCTCCTGTTACCCCAGCCTAGATATCGAGTAAGAATGTTGTTTACCAACAGTGTTTTAATACAGTACAATTTTAAAGATCTCCCCAACCCTAAATCATAAAGTATGTATTCCTGTTTGTTTGGAATTGACTGAAGTCAAGTGCAAATACACCATGTGGCATATCAGCTGGGGAGCTACACCAGTGCTGCAGATTCTATAAAAATGTGTTACTGGCTAAAGAAGCCCTTGCCAAAAGAGCTTGTGTAGAGTCCTGTAGTTACAAGTGCAGAGAGTGTGTTAAAACTGAGCCCTGGAATCGTGTCTGGCAAAGTTCCTGCTCCATAAACACTCGTGCAGCTCCAGCAGTTGTTACTTTTACATGTCCATGTGTTTTCCCTCTTCTACCACCCCAGCCTGGGGGACCCTGTCAGCACTAGACTGGTTTCCAAGGAGTGGTTGTAAGAGGTGCCAGTTCTCTCTTGTGTTTGCCATTTGATGATGAACTCCCTCCCTCTCCCATTTTGATAAGTTTTCTAGCTCTTTCTACCCATGCTTGTGACCTGTTAAAGGAATCAACTTTGGTCCTAGAGGCTATATAGTCCTTTTTCATCCAAACCTCTCCCCCGATTCTCTTGTCTCTTCTTGAATCCGACTTGCGGGTAATTACAGGCCCCAAACCAATCACAACTGTGATGCCCAAAGCCATCATTGACTTAACATAAAAAATCCTCTCTGGCTCAACCTGGGAAATAATAAAAGTTAGTTTTAACTTTACAGGCTATAGTTATAGCCCATATGGCTAATGGTGAAAGATATTTCTAGACCCCTAATATGTTTCTTTCTGTGGAATGTGCACCAAAGAAACATCCACTCAAAACAAACCCTTTTGTGGTTTTATGATATTTGCTTACAACTGATTGAACATGGGATAAATTGTGTTATGGTGAAAGATGATTACAGGATTTGGTGCCTAAAAAGAGCTGGGGGAGTGGGGAGTAGCAGTAGTTATTGTTTTACTAGTATAGGTTGAGAATCTCTTACTGAAATACTTGGGGCTTTTTCAGATTTTGAAATAATTTAGTGTGCCAGTGTTTTGAGTATGAGCTGTAACATGAAGTCAAGATGGAATTCTCCAAACTTTTGGTGTCATGTTGACATTCAAAAAGTTTCCAATTTTAAGACAGAGAAAGGAGGGGGAGAGATGGCATTGTGGCATAATGGGTTAAGCTGTTACCTGCAGAGTTGGCTTTGGCCTGGCCCAGCTCCAGCTGTTGTGGCCATTTGAGGGGTGAACCACTGGATGGAAGATCTCCCTCTCCATCTCTCCTTCCCTCCCTCCCTCCCTCCCTCCTTCCCTCCCTCTGTCTGTGTGTGTGTATATGTCTGTGTAACTCAACCTTTCAAAATCTTTTTTTCTATTTGACAGGTAGAGTTATAGACAGTGAGAGAGAGAGAGACAGAGAGAGAAAGGTTTTCCTTTCCCGTTGGCTCACTCCCCAAATGGCCACCACGGCCGGCGCGCTGCGCGGATCTGAAGCCAGGTGCCTCTTCCTGTTCTCCCATGTGGGCGCAAGGGCCCAAGCACTTGGGCCATCCTCCACTGCCCTCCCAGTCCACAGCAGAGAGCTGGACTGGAAGAGGAGCAGCTGGGACAAGAACCCGGCACCCATATGGGATGTTGGCGCCACAGGCAGAGGATTAACCAAGTGAGCCATGGCGCTGGCCCCATAAATAAATCTTTAAAAAAAAAAAAAAGAATCTTTAAAAAAAAAAGTGAGGAGGAAGGAAGAGAGGAAAATATAATATTATTAGAATTCTATCTGTGAACTACACTGAATCTATTCTTTGTATATTTTTTAAAGATTATTTACTTAGGCTGGCGCCATGGCTCAGTAGGCTAATCTTCCACCTGCGTCGCCGGCACACCGGGTTCTAGTCCCGGTCAGGGCGCCAGATTCTGTCCCAGTTGCCCCTCTTCCAGGCCAGCTCTCTGCTGTGGCCCAGGAGTGCAGTGGAGGGTGGCCCAAACCTTGGGCCCTGCACCCGCATGGGAGACCAGGAGACCTGGCTCCTGGCTTTGGATCAGCGCGGTGCTCCAGCTGTGGCACCCATTGGAGGGTGAACCAACAACAAAAGGAAGACCTTTCTCTCTGTCTCTCTCTCTCTCACTGTCCACTCTGTCACAAAAAAAAAAAAAAAAAAAAATTATTTACTTATTTGAAAGGCAGAGTTAGGTAGATGCAGAGAGAGAGAGAGAGATCTTCCATCCTCTGGTTGTCTCCCCAGATGGCTGCAATGGCCAGAGCTGTGCCAATTTGAAGCCAGGAGCCTGGAGCTTCTTCTGGGTCCCCAATATGGGTGCAGGGGCCCAAGGACTTGGGCCATCTTCTACTGCTTTCCCAGGCCATAGCAAAGAGCTGAATCGGAAGTGGAGCAGCCAGGACTTGAACTGGTGCCTATATAGGATGCCAGTACTGCAGGCAACAGTTTTACCCACTACACCACAGTACTGGCCCCTGTTCTCTGTATTAATATCACAATAACAAGAGAATTGATGAGAAAATAATAAAACCTTTAATAAAAACAGTTTTAGATTTTGGAACATTTTAGATTTTCAGGTTTGGAATTTTTGCTTGTCATTCTGACTATTGTAGTAATAGTAATAATACCAGGGTATTATATACCAAGAGTAGTAATACCAGGCTACTTCAGAAAGTTCATGGAAAAATAGAGTTAACACAAGTTTATTTTGGTGTAAAATTTTTTTCATAATTATGAATTTTTCATAATATCTTTTTCATAATTATGAATTTCCAATAACTTTCCTGAAGACCTCTTGTACACAGGGATCCAAATTTTTTGAACCAAAATATTTATCTTTTAATCCCATTTTCCATGAACTTCTGGAAGTCCCCCCGCCAGCTCCCAGCCACCCCCATAGTAGCAGCAGCAGCCATGGTAGCAGTAGACGTGGTGGAAGCACCTGCCCCTGCAGCGAAGGTGGTCAGCAGAAATGACATGCTGTTAAGCTTCTACTCCACAGGCACTGGCCCAGATACTTTATATGGATTCCCTCCTGTCATCTTCTCTGCAGCCCTGCAACCTAGATCCATTCCGCCTGGATCCAGGCGAGGAGTTAAGATTCAGAGAAGTAACCTGTCTAAGGAGATGCCATTAGTAAAACCACAGAACCAGACGTGTAACCCAAGGGTGTCTCCCTCCAGCTCACAGCCTGTTCAGAGGGTTGTCCTAAAACTAGACCACAGGGCCGGTGCCGCGGCTCACTAGGCTAATCCTCCGCCTTGCGGCACCGGCACACTGGGTTCTAGTCCCGGTCGGGGCGCCGGATTCTGTCCCGGTTGCCCCTCTTCCAGGCCAGCTCTCTGCTGTGGCCCGGGAGTGCAGTGGAGGATGGCCCAGGTGCTTGGGCCCTGCACCCCATGGGAGACCAGGAAAAGCACCTGGCTCCTGGCTCCTGCCATCGGATCAGCGCGGTGCGCCGGCCGCAGCGCGCTGGCCGCGGCGGCCATTGGAGGGTGAACCAACGGCAAAGGAAGGCCTTTCTCTCTGTCTCTCTCTCTACTGTCCACTCTGCCTGTCAAAAAAAAAAAAAAAAAAAAAAAAAAAAAAAAAACCACAGGCCCAGGAAAGAACTTTGTACCAATGATTATTATGTTTTCTTCTGTGAAAACCTAAGTCAACCTCAAATACGTTGAAGCAGCAGGAAGAAGTTTTGATACTGTGTTCCCTATCCAGATATGTATGTTGCAGACCAAAGCCACTCAAACTGCCAAGATATAACCAGCAAAGCCCAGGCCCAAGGACAGAGTTTTCCTGGGCTGATGAATTTTGAGCTTCAAGCTCAGCCTCAAGCTACAGGCACATGGTTCCCCATGACAGGTGAAGGTTTTTGAAAGGGATCACTGGGCATGGGCACAAATCACTTCAGATAAAGAAAAACCCCTGATGCATTCACCTACTTTTTTTTCAATCCGCTTATAAATACAGTTGGGTTTTCCAAAGATTGCTTAAGTCAGAACAGACCTAAAAGATGACACAAGCCCAAAACTTTGTGCAAATACCTTCACCTTTCAACCCACTGACATCCCAGCTGCGGTTCAATCTTGCCTGAGGGGGAGGACTTGTCTCCAGAAGTAGCATGGGTGTTCCCTCAGGGTGGGGAGCTCTTGTTCCCTCCAGCATGGAGCAGCTACACATTTTGAAGAGAAAAGTCCTTAGCCACATCTTAGCTGCCCATGAGGTATCTTTTTAAATACATGGCAATAAAGTTCATCTGGCTGCTCCTCCTAGATTCCAGATCTCTCCTCCTGTTGCACAAAGTGAATCCACTGGCTAAAAGGAGCAGTCAGGAATAAATGTTTGCACCTTGGATGGGAATCCTGGAACTTTCTCAATTCAGTTCCCTAAAAGACAGTTCCCAGAAAGGTCAAGAATCTTGTGATGTTTACAAAAAAAAAAAAAAATGGACATAAAACTGCTTAACCTTTTGGCCTCATTTCTTTGACTTTACCTGATAAACCCTTGACCATCCACTGCTACCACTACGCCTCTGCCCTTCCTTCAAGACAACTGAAATTCTTGACACATACTAGATGCTCAGTGAGTGGTTGGTTAGGGGAGTAGATGGCAGCAGTGAGGGGGAAAGCAGGTGAACAGGTACCTGGCCTTTATTTAAAAGGGATATACGTATGGATGGGTAAAAAGCTTCTGTAAGCATTCCCAGCTGGTAAACTCTTGCCTTGCTCTTGGATACCTCTCTTGCTCATCTTTTGGCTGCTGCTCTGAAAGTTCCTCTATATTTTCCTGCGTTTGATTTGCCACCTCTCCCCGAACAAGAACATGGCCTCATATTCTTCACTGCATATGGCTTTTATCCGACAGCAAGGCAGAGCTGGTTCTCAGCCAATGGCAGATTCTGACTGCCCAATCCAGGAACAGGGAGGTAGCAGCCACTAGGACTTACTAAATGTTGCAGGCCGGGGGCCTTAGAGGGAGAAGTAGGTGTCTAATCCTGTTCCTGCTTGTGTTTTGGCTACAGCGTCACAGCTACAGCTGCCAGCATTGGAGCTGCCGGTGTGCCCCAGGCTGGCCTGGTGACCATGGTGATCGTGCTGAGTGCTGTGGGGCTGCCCGCTGAGGATGTCACCCTGATCATTGCTGTCGACTGGCTCCTGTGAGTTGGAATAAATGCACTGTGCAGCCGGATGGGCGGGCCAGCTTCTCAGCCATGGAGAATCTGCAGTCTGTCATCACTCTGCCCCCAGATTGCCTAATGAGCCATCTGGGGCTGCTTCAGTTTCCCTCTGACCAGGCTATCTGATAACATGCTTAAAAATTAACTCCTCATAACCTTGAGCAAAGGTTTTAAAAAGCCAATGAAGTCCATTAGCTCACTGTACCTGATAATGTTCAAGGTTGGGAGCTGGGTGTGGGACAAGGTAACTGCAGAATAATAACAGGAAGAAGCAGCGGGGCAAGGCCCCAGACATCACAAAGCCCACAGCCATCCTGGCCCATCTGCACTGTGCTTCAGCATCAGAGGCTCAGAACTAGCTGGTTCAGAAACATCTGTCTCCCTAGGCGTCTCCAGCACTGGCAGGGCAGTGGCGTGAGCACAGACGTCTGACTGGCTTTTGACCTTGAACAGATTCATTAGCCTCTTTGAAGGCCACTTGCATTATCTGTAAGATGGAGAACATCCTGCCTGTCTCATTAGGTTATTGTAAAGATTCAGGGAGCTCATGTGCGTGTCAAGAACTGAGTGTGACAGTCAGTATGTGTTAAATAAATGGTGTGCTTTCTTGTTATGAGTAGAAAGAATTGGGCCATTCAGGCAACAATCTCAATCTCTTTTCCTCCCTCTCTCTGTCTCTCTCTCTCACATACATACACACACACACACACACACACACACACAGAGAGAGAGAGAGAGAGAGAGAGAGAGAAAGGAACACAGAACACCTAGGTGAGAACATGCCTTCTAATGTTTGCTTCTGGGCCTTGGCTTGCTGGCATCAAGGTCTGGCTCCATTCCCTAGCCACCTGGGCTAAGGGTAGATCTGTATTGAGCTTTTCATTCAAAACCAGCTCAGGCTTAGTAGGGAATCCATGCTGCATAGTTGGAAGGTAGCAGCTGAGATAGAAGAAAGGGAAACAGTGACATTTCCATGTAGTTTGAAGAGAAGAGTCACATCCCAGAAGGCAAAAGCCCCTGCACCTGGCTTGGAGACCATGCCATGTGGAGCCCTTTAGCAGGTGGCCCAACTGAGATGACGAGTTACCCTACCAGTGTGGCAAGCTTTACTTTTCTGTCTAGTGATGACAGTGCATTTTCCTCTCCCTCCTTTCTCTGGTTCTTCCTGGAACCAGTAACCTTCGTCACCAAAAGTCAAGAGTCCGATCTGAGGCCATGGGGTGAAATGGCACTGGAGCCATTCCAATCCCTGGCCTTGTTCTAAATACCCAGGGCATCCAGAGTGGGTATGTGGGTGCATTATTGGTCTTTTAATCATTCCTGCAGATGTTTTCACAAGAATACTCATGTCTACTGTTATCAAAATGGACAATGCCCTCCATGGAGTGCCTTCTCTCCACATCTTCCTGCTGCTAGCCTCTTCTCTAGACTGTCTGGGAACTAAAACTGGCTGAGGGTGCCTCAAGGAGAAATTAGTTCCTAGGCTGACCTGTTTTCTTACTCTGGACTCTACCATATCCCCATTGGCTTGCTGTTAAGCACAGTGGCCTAGATTGGTAAAGAAACAAGTACACCAGGGATGACCACACAAGTACACACACAGTTTGGCAATACAACACAGGCAGAATAGCCAATTTCTCTCACCTAGCCAAAAGGGAGCCCACAGTGTCAATTACATTGAATTTGGAGAACCCACAAGACAGGGGTTAGGGCAAAAGACTTAACTGAATTCTGAACTCCGTTCAATATCTGTGAAGACTCTTATTTCTTTGTGAGGAGGGGAGAGAATCCAGGGGGACTTAGGGGAGTTGTTACTACTTACTGGGAGTTCAGCCCCAGTAAAGCCTATTTGCTAATTCTGCACCTCTATGAACCACCTCCTGCCCTAGGCCTGTGGGGCGCCTCTGGTCACTTGTCCATGAGGACAACATTCACTTAAATCTAAACACATCATATCCTTTTGTCTACCCAATGGTGGAGAAAAATGAAACCTGAGCCTCCTGACTCCTGCTGTCTCTTCCTCAGGGACCGGTTCAGGACTGTGGTCAACGTCCTTGGTGATGCTTTTGGAACCGGCATTGTGGAAAAGCTCTCCAAGAAGGAGTTGGAGCAGATGGATGTTTCATCTGAAGTCAACATCGTGAACCCTTTTGCCTTGGAATCTGCAACCCTCGACAACGAAGACTCAGACACCAAGAAGTCCTACATCAACGGAGGATTTGCAGTAGACAAGTCTGACACAATCTCTTTCACCCAGACCTCACAGTTCTAGAGGCACTGGCTTCACAGGACTGTCATGAAGGACCTTCCATGAGAGTCATCTCTTAGCAAATGCAAACATTAATTAAGGAAAATGCAAATGGCCACTGTACATTTAATTTGATATACAGACCTCCAGATTATTTTCTATATTCAAATTCTGAGCCTTTGCTCTCTGGGTTTTGGGATTTGGGGCAGGGTGGGGTAACATGAAAGGAAATTCTTGAAAGTTGTATTATCTGAATTTTTTAAAATTCCATAGGCCAAAGTTTAGAAGTATGCAAACTAACTTGGAATTAGATAATGGGTATGGAAGAGAAATTGCTTTCTCATGTACAGACTAGTATTTTTTAAAAAATAATTCTGTCATTGGTTACAAATTTTTACTCAGGCTTTCTATTGGCATGGATTTCCTTTGACCTCACTTTTTTATAGATTATTCTTCATCTAACCTTCCCCACTAATGTGCCAAATTGTCCATACTGAACTCCTTTCTAGCCAATTTCAAAGAAATTGCTTTGAAAGAAAACAAACCAGCACAGTTCCTCAATAACAGTCTTAAGATGGGTATAGGCTTTGGGGAGGGAAGGAGACGAGTTCTTTTACTAATGTACTGTATTGGGATGCTGATAACTGTTAACCCAGTGTTCACTATAGAGCTATATATATATATATATGTATGTATGTGTATGTATATATTTATTATTTTCATATAATTCGCCAGAGATCAGAATTGAACTGTCAATGTGAAATAAAGAGCTGTCCTTGTACTTGAATAGTTATTACAATTCCAACCCAGATCTGCTGTGGGGCTTATCAGAACTCTTTTCCTTTTTATCAGAATTAGAGAAATCATGTTGTCGGATCACTTAAGGTCTGTGTATCAGCCCCAAGCAGAGATGTATTGTGGTGACAGTCCAGGCTGGCCATTCACTTACATCTCCCAGATTGGTGCTGCCTGGAGTGAACCCATATCAGCTGTACATAAGACTGCACACAAAGGTGCCACTCATGAAAGGCTGGACGTGCTTTTATCTAATTAGAAGGCCTCCTTCTCCTGTGTGGACTCATGCCAGGTAGAGAAACATTTTGCTGGCCTTGCACTTTTGTATCCATCAGCACCCAAACAACAGTGGCAGATGACCAGCTACGTTGCATTTGAATATAGAATCCACGGTTTGAACAAGCCACACTGCAGAAAAAGAGCTGTGTCAACCCTGGGTTCTTGCAGAGTAAACCACGGGACCTGAGACGCTGGTGCCAGCAGGTGAGGAGTGAGTCTTCCATTCTGCAACGCTTGTCTCCTCCTCTAACGATGGCTTCACTGTTAATCTTGGCCCTGTTCATTAAAATCCTTTGCTTGTCATCCTCCTGCTAATTTATGAAGATAACTGATAAAAGTCTGTGCTTCAGTTCTCATCTTGTAAATAATGCTTAACATGTACTTACACTGGCATCCAAAACAGTAATGCAGTCTTATGTAGCCAGCTCAAACATGTGCTTTTAAAATTAAGCCAGAAATTGTGCCAAAGAAAGCAGGGAAGTAAATACTCAGTATTGACCATCTGCAGCTGAAACTATGAGACTGATACCGAACCGTCATGTAATCATCATAGTAACCAGTGGTTCAATGTGAATTTTAAAATGGAATTATTGGTATTGTTATAGGAAATAAATAGAGCTGTAAATGAAGTTGAGTCAATCATTTGTGTTGAACTGAGTGGTTCTTCCTCCTTATTGGGTTTCTCCAGGTTGTGGCACTGCAGTTGGCACAGTTCATGAAACATCCCTTGTTTTGGGGTCTTGACACTGCTCTTAACTCATCAGAGAGCAGCACTCCATCTCAGTCTCAATAAACATTTCCCCCATTCTTTCTCCTCCACTTTTTCTTTTTACTTTTTTTAATTATTATTTTCTTGGATGGGTGTGAAAAAGCAGAGATGTGGTCAGTTGGATTGGATTATACACGGACTGTTTTCAAAACTTCATATCCCAAGAATGGAAAAGCAGGGCTTGAGGAAAACTAACTTGATTTTTTATGTTAATCAGTGCAGTGACAGCTGACATGCAGTGCCATTATGAACAGTTGTGTGTATATGATGACCAAGATGAAAGTAGAATCTTCTTAGAAAGTACTATAATAAGATAATTGTATCTCTACATCAGGGTGGCTTGGTTTCATTGAAAGACCAATCCTGCCCTCAGATATGACTGCAAACCACTGACAGCTGTATTGGGTGTTCTTTCAAAGGCAGGCACAGACCTGCCCAGAAAACCTGAGTCATGATGGCACTCTGCAGGGCTGGGTGGACATCAAAGAATGGACAACTTCCTGTGGCCAGCTTTCAGAGGCTAGAATCTCATAAAAATACTGATTGCTCCATGGCCAAAAGAATACAGAATAGTTTCCCTTTGTTTGCATCATGGAAGAAATACTCCAGAACACAACCCCCTGGAAAGAGGTTTGTTTGGGAAAGTTGGTGCACCTGGGCTTCCATGTGATTATGAATGTGTGTGTGTGTGTGTGTGTGTGTGTTTGTGTGTGTTGTTTTTATTTGAGAGGCAGAGTTAGAGAAGGCGAGACAGAGAGCTCTTCCATTCACTGATTTACTCCCCAGATGGCCACAACAGCCAGGCTGGGCCAGGCCAAAGCTAGGGGCTTCTTCCAAGTCTCCTGCATGGGTGCAGGGACCCAAGGACTTGGGCCATCTGCTGCTGCTTTCCAGGTGCACTAGCAGGGAGCTAGATCAGCAGTGGAGCAGTCAGGACTCAAACTGGCACTCATATGGGGTGCTATTGCTATAGGCTGCAGCTTTAACCTGTTGAGCCACAATGCCACCCCTCCATGTGATTTTGATTTTGCCTAAAGTATACTTAATGCATAGAGGAATGATGTTATCGCTGGCAAATGATTTTTTTTTTTTCAAAAAATTGTAAGCAAACTGGGTATACATCCCTGTTCTTAGAGTACCTTGGATTATGGGTCTGGCTTATCAGGCAGTGGCTCACCAGCAGTGTGGCTTTGCAGATTTTAAGGGTCTACTGTTCAGGAGCAGGAGAGAGGAAATGGTCCTGCAGATGCCTGACAGGATGCTAGAAGAGTCTAAGCAACAGGATTGATATCCTGTATTCTCTAACTGCCCAATAAGAGACCGTGGCGCACAGCTCTGATTTCCTCTCACCTTTGTGATCCTTGCCAATACAGGATCCACAGTCTAAGCCTTGGTTTTCTCTTCCATGAAGTGAGGTAACTCCCACCTCCTGAGCTTGCTTTTAAGTATCAAATGAGAATACATGTCTGATGCACTTAGCAGAGACCCTATCACATAGTATGCTTAATAAGCCTTAGTGCCCCACTCCTCCCTGCCCCAGGGTTGGGTGGATGAGGGGGAAGCTTTGACGTGGGTGACTGCAGTGGCTACTCCAGTGGTTCAGGACCCACGTCACCAGCAATTAGGGAGTCGGTATTAGCTGGGTCAACAGAAGATATTCTATCCCACCTAGTGAAAAAGGGGAATCCCTCTGGGAAAATGACACTTTAAGGAGTATAAAACAGAATATGAGCCATCTTCAATAGCTCATGAAAAATTAACATGAAAAAACTATGCATGGTTTTTAAAATTTTTCTGCAATAAAAAAAAACCTTACAATTCCATTTTCCATGAACTTTCTGAAGTACTTCATATTCTCTCCTGTAAAGTACCACATGGGAATGAAACAGGTGTTCACAGGGTTTGAGATGCTCAAGCTGCCTTCATGAGGCTGAGATGCACGTTCACGCAACACCTCTTCAGGTGCCCAGAAAATGGGGGTACAGCATGAAGTTCACGCTTGCAATAAGTCTATAAATGTCAGGAATCCTCAGAAACTGTCCTCCTCTGCTGCAGGAAGCAGACTTTACCCCCGGCCCCACCTGGTGCTTTTTAATACACCTTGCGGTGGGAAATGTGCCTCCCTCACATGTACTAAAAACAAGGAGGGCTTAGTAAGTGGGACTTGGAAGCAATATATTGATCAGTACATAGGGAACTGGGTGCCTGCACCTAAGTGTGTGAAATTATTATCAGGAGTAGAGTTGACTGGGGACATTCATCAACAGCCTAGGCTATACAGTGCCACAAAACTCAAGCACATAATGTGCTGTTAGCCTAGTGATTAAGACTCTTGCATTCCCCATCCCCTGGGATCAGTTCTCAGCTCTGGCTCCTGACATCAGCTTGCTGCCAATGCAGACATGGGGAAACATCAGGGATAGCTCACTCATATCACTGGGTTCTTGCCACCAACTTGGGAGACCTGGATTACCTTTCTACTTCTGGCTTTGGCCTTACCCCAATGCCATGTGTGATTTCAAGGGCATCCCTCTAGAATGATGGAGGGAGACACTTCTGGTTTCATCTACAAATCTGTATCTGGTCTGCTTGGACTTAGAGGTAAACCCCTACTTCATTACTCTGGTTGGGGTATATGGAAAAGAAAAGCTGTGGCCCCTTCCAGAGACACTCTGCTGGTTTCTAGAAGTCTTCTAGTGAGGGCAGCACCAGGACCTGGGAACTCAAACACAGTCTCAGCCGATAGTTCTGAGCAGTGGTGTGTGGATGCCAACCTCCATTTTCCTTCCAAGAAGTTGCCTTTTCCTGAAAAGACTGGAGAAAGCCATAAACTTAGCAGGTGGCCCTCTCCTCTTCTACATCAGGTCATTTGAGACTACACAGCAGGGATGTGTCATCCGCACAAGTCATCAGAGTCAAGGATCTGGCTGCCAGGGGAAGGCATGAGATCTGCTGGTACCCAGGACTGGTGCTACCTTGTCACACAGCTCTGTGGAAGGTAAGACAGACTGAAATGGAATTGAGGCATCCCAGGAGAACAGCTGCTAGAACAAAGGCACCAGTCTGTTATGGGCATGCCTTCACAAATGAAAACATGACATTTTAAATAGGACTTTGATCCTCCTCCAAGCATTCAAACCTAACGTTCATTTTAAGAACCCATGTGTGGTGTGTCTAAGGTTATCAACCTAGCCTGGCAAGAAAAAACAAAAGGCCAACAAAAGGTGTGTCTGAGTTGAGGACTCAGTAAGTGGATTGCCGGGGGGTGGGGGGTTGGGGGGGTGGGGGGTGGCGCAGAGCTCCTAAAGTAACTCAGGGTAACAGCACAGCTAGATTTTCAGGAAACTAGGTGGGTCTGACAGGTGTCAGAGAAGTGCTAGTGTGCAAACTCCTGTTATAAATAAAAGCAGTGCCAGTTAGCCACAGAGGTAACACAGAGGTAACATCCTTCCCCAACACTCACTTCCGTCTTCCCAATACGCCCAATTGACTTCAGAATTAATCTTCCATTTCCTGATTCAGAAAGGATAAGAAAGTCAATAATGTGTCAACTTTACATTAGTCACACATAAACTCAAGGTTCTTTGCTCAGTCAGGAGGGGCCCAGTAAGTTGGAAGAATGTGCGACCTGCAGTTGACAGAAAAATTCGACATGCAAACAAGACCCTCGGGCCACAAGGATACTTAGTTTTCTTCCCTGCCACTAAGGAAAATTTTGCTGCTAGTTCATTCCAGTCACATAACCACCCACCCAACTGCTGGGCATCATTACCTTTTATAGAGATGATATGTAAGACAAATAAAGGTCTGACTTCTTCCAAGATGGCACTCTAACATGTAACAGCTGCAGGCATCGAGGGGAGAGTGAGCTCCCTGCCAAGCTGAGTGTGGCAGCGGGTGGGCGCCACAATTCCAAAAGGGAAACAGCAACAACACAGAGGAAAATCATTTTTATCTATGTGGCATTGATTAGGTGGTAGGCACTTTTTGTAGCACTTAAATTTTAACTCATTTATTCTCATGAAATGGGTACCATTATCTTCTCCCTATAGAAGAAGGACTGTACAAAAAAAGGTGATGCAACTTACCCAAGATCACAGAATAAATAGGTGCACAGCAAAATTTGGCTTCAGGGTCAATGATATCACCAGGCACAGTAAGGCAGAGAGAGCCACAGGTGCTAGAACACTAACTCTCTTTTTAAAAAGACTTATTTATTTATTTGAAAGGCAGAGTGACAGATCTTCCAATGGCTGATTCACTTCCCAAATACCTCCAACAGCCAGGGCTGAGACAAGTTGAAGCCAGGAGCCTGGAGCTCCATCCTGGCCTCCCACATAGGTTGACAGGGATCAGAGTATTTGAGCCATCTTCTGCTGTTTCCCAGGTGCATTAGGAGAAAGCTGGATCAGAAGCGGAGTGACTGGGACTCAAACCAACACTCCAATATGGGATACAGGTGTCCCAAGTGACAGTTTAACCTGCTATGATGCAATGCTGATCCATAAAATAGTGATTCTAACTCAAGTTGGAGGTAGTCTAAAACTTTAGAGGCAAATAAGTATCACTATAGAAATCTACTGTACAACACCGAGCCTACAGTCAACAATGTATTTTATATTTATATTTTTGCTAAGAGAAAAAAAAAACGAAGGTTAAATGAAACGTCTGGAGACGGTGGAAGAGTTTTAAGCATAGACTTCAGTGACAGCCCCACAGGTATACATCTCTATCTCTACACTCATCAAGTTGTCTACTTGGAGATGTACAGCTTTTTGTATGCCAATCGATCCTCCAAAGGTGGTTTAAGATAAAAAGAGTCATTGCTAACATTGCATGCTACTTGCTGCACTACACT